GTTTTGTTGCTTCTGTCATTATAAAAAAATCAGTCTTCTGTTAGCATCGTCTGACAATATGCTCTATTTTAAATCTCAGCGCGTGAATGTGTAAGGTAATTATACATAATATGTATAATTGATACAGTAAAAACTCCTACCACAAGAGGTTTAATATAGGGCTGCAAAATGAAATACATTCAAACTTTTGAAAAAACTGAAGACAGACTATGAAAAGGTTGTAATTAAACTACTAATGGGGGAGGGACGTTTTATTGTCATCTGAGAAACAAGCAAGCGAGACTCAATCTGGCAGCTCCCTGCCTGAGAAGCTTCACGTGAAGTTACACAACAGCTCCCAAATCCTAGCATGTTTGATGGAGAGTGCCCACACCTTCCATGCTCCCTCTGCGGCCCGTCAGGCTGATTTTCCAGCTGAAAACAAATACAGTGTGACTACAATGCAGACTAGAGGCATACACCTGAGAATCAGCGCATCAGAAAAGATGATCGTCTTCGATACGAGGCGAGTCTAACCTGAAAGGGCTGCATGGGTATCTGCAGCAGCAATCATTACGGCTAAAGAGATAGAACAGCCCCCATTCCTCTTGGTACAACAGGACAGAATTTAAGAAATAAATGCACTGTGATCTATAAGCATAGATCAATCGTTTAATGAGACTGGAAGCAGGAAAAAAGCTGTTTTCCATTACCCCCTTTCCTCTCCCTCATCACTGGATGACCCTTTACTGCTCAAGTACTCCACTCAGCACTGGACAGTTTTTTAGCCTGCATGCCCAGTGACGCAACTCCTGTTGCTGCAGCCTGTTCTACTCTGCTTATGGCAAGGAAGAGCACAAGCAAGTGTTGGCAGCAGGACCTCTCTGCAGCGACAGAGACGCCCGTTAATCAAGGAGTTGTGTGACCAAGCAGATGCTCGTTAGGTTGCACAAAGAAGCCATGTTCAGTCATCGAGCCACAGACATGTTAACTGTAATTCCAACAGTGCCCAAGGCACCTGTTTTGGAAGAGGTATAACCCAAAATCCCAAAGATGGAAATGAAAGATACATACAATATAACTTCAGCAACTGTCCTCCCTGACCCACGAGACAGAATGCTTATCACTGTCCAACGAGGTGGCTTCTCACGGTCTGTACATATCATCCAGACCTCCCTGAGAAGGTATTTCACCTCTTCCACAGCAAAGGCCAGGCTGGATGAGGCTTGGAGCAACCTGGTCCAGTGGAAGGTGTCCCTGCCCATGGCAGGGGGATTGGAACTGTAAGTCCTTTAAGGTCCCTTCCAACCCAAATCGTTCTATGAAATAAACAAAATCAATGAACCTCAATCGGCCCAATTCCCTTCTCACCATGCCTCCATAAGGCAACAGCGCTGGTGGCTTCTCAAGCCCTTCTACACTCTACCCTGAGAAGCAGGGCTTTGGTTGCACAGCCTGGGTGAAAGTAGCCGAAGATAATTTATGAGAGACATCAAGAAAGAGTTATGGTTTTTAACAGACAATTTTGAAGCAGAATACTACCAATATACAGAGTCCTTGGTTTCACTATATAAATATCTCTGACAGCCAAACAATAACTCTGCCTCTTATTTTAGAGCTCAACCCCAAACTGGTAGACTTCGTAACTCTTCACACTCCTGCTATTCCCTGAGGTGCTTCTAAGATGATCACTGTCAGAGTCAAAGAGTCTATAAAAAGGATGAAGGAAGCTGGGAAATTTCCACAGAGGTGATGCCAGAAAAAAAAGAACTAACATTTTAGCCATTGACTAAAGCCAGGCTGCACCACTGGAATTTCATCACTGAAGTCCAAGAGCTCCCCCAACTGAGCTCTGGGATGACTGCAATCACAACCAGGAGACAGGCGATTGCTCAGGTACCTGGAAAGTTCCAGGTCTGCCCAAAGGGGTCTTCAGATTTACCCCTCAGAAGCCAGCGCTCGTTCACAGAAGAGCTGGAAAACTCATTAACAGAAGCTGTCACAGTGAAGAACAAGAAAGAAGTGACTCGGGCACATGGCATACTCTTGCCTTCTGTTTAAGGGAACAGCAGGGAGGCCTGCCAAACCAGCAGTGGCATCCTGTCACAATACATCTAGTTTTGTGTTACATACTGTCATCTATATAAGAAAACTCACTTGAAGAGGAAAACGTTTTGCCCAAAACATGGTCTGTCCTCAAAATCCTCATTTTCCCCCAACCATGTAAGGTTTATAAAAGGAGATACTGTAACAGAACAATACAGGCACAGATTGGCCGGATAAAAACACTCCCTTTCTAAGTGGGGTAAAGTAAATTTGTTAGTTTAAAAGACCAAAACACAACCAGGAGCAGAGCATGTTCCCAGATTGGCCGGATAAAAACACTCCCCTTCCTTTCTAAGCGGGGTAAAGTAAATTTGTTAGTTTAAAAGACCAAAACACAACCAGGAGCAGAGCATGTTCCTCCTCTGAATTTTAACCAGCAACACCTGAGCTCCCTTACAAAAAGATTTTAAGATTTCTCTTCTCTACTCCAGTTATAAGCAGTGGCGACTGAACTCTTCAACAGCTGAAACCCCTCCTAAGGGAATATTTGGTGTTCTCCAGCACCTCCCCAAAATCTTCAAAACACCAGACAGAAATAAAAGCTACCAAGAACTTATAAGTTCCTATATTTCACAGATACAGTTTTCAATGTAAAATTTCCACTTCTTTCTGATTCTTAACCTCTTCATGCTAACGTGCCACACGCAAAGGTGTTGAGGGTTTTACTGTTTGGAGTCTTGTTTTGTTTGTTTCTCAACTATGCAATCCCTATTTCTCACAGAAACAACAGCAAACATAAGCAAAAACACCTGTTTAGTAAAGATGAGGCAACAAGTTCATGCAATGAATTTACCACCCTTATGACATACAGAGTATGTGGATAACCACATATCATATCTGCAACACTGAAGTTTAAAAACACACACAAAAAGAAGCCCTGATTCAAAAAAAAAACACACCCAAAAAAACCCCACCACACCAACCAACCAAAACACAGAATCACAGACTGGTTTGGGTGGGAAGGGACCTTAAAGCCCACCCAGTCCCACCCCCTGCCATGGGCAGGGACACCTTCCATAGACCAGGGTGCTCCAAGCCTCATCCAGCCTGGCCTTGGACACTTCCAGGGATGGGGCATCCACAGCTTCTCTAGGCAACCTGTCCCAGTGCCTCACATTTCACATCTGATCTCTATGTTTTGCTCACAACATGGGGGTTCGTGGAACAGCCGTTATTTTCATGCTGTAACCAGCTTCTCTTTTCTAGGTAATCTGTACTTCTGTCTACTTTTTGAAAGCGATAACCCTCTAATCTGGGCTGGGAGCAAAAAGCAAGCAGAAGACAGATGAGGCAGAACCGATTAACACACAGGCATGAGCGGAGCAGTCAGCCAGCCACCATCGCATGACCCTAACGCAAACCTCAGGTCACATGGTATGACTCTTAGAGCAGCCAACTCGTACGTGCTGACGAGGTGAAACCACCACGCTGAAGGCAACAGTGGCTTTGGTCGAGTCGCTGCACTGTGTGGGTGAAGGAGAGGGCGAGGATGGGGAGCACTGGGACAGGTTGCCCAGAGAAGCTGTGGATGCCCCATCCCTGGAAGTGTCCAAGGCCAGGCTGGATGAGGCTTGGAGCAACCTGGGCTATGGAAGGTGTCCCTGCCCATGGCAGGGGGTGGCACTGGGGGGCTGTAAGGGCCCCTCACCCCAAAGCGTTCTGGAGTCTCCGGTTCTGTATTTCCAACAGGCTGGTGGCGACACCTGGTGGGCAGGTGGACGGGACCAGCTACGCCCGGGCGGTACCCAAACCTCACCATCACCGCCATTCCCAGCCCCCAGGTGCCGTCTGAGAGCCAGCCTGAGTCTCCTCAAAAATCCCTGTGCATCTGCCTGCTGCGGCTCACAGGCGTCTTCCTCTCCCCAAGACCCAGGTGTGCTGGGGAAACAGACTTTCTGACACGCCAGAAAGATTTTAAAATTTCACACTAACACTACGGCTGAGTCTTACCGACTGACCCCCTCCCTCCACTCCTTTTCAAGGCTGTAAAAGATGACGATATCCCTTCGTTACAGCCTCTTGGCTGTTGGTAGATTTATAGGCCTGCAGGTACCAACAGCCTGGAGACACCTGGTGTCACCAGGGACCCATACTGCAGAGCGATGGGAGGACACTGTCTGCCCCTGCCAGGGCACCGCAGCAGCAGCCTCGCAGTGGCATTTAACTCCAATCTGCAAGCAAATGTCAGTATTTATTAGTCCCACCAAGATCTGCAATAAAGCTGCTCTGGGTTGCTAAGACTCTCTGGGTTGTGCTTTTAAATAGGAGGCTTAAGAAAAAAAGATTGGTTCGCAGTAACTTATTCCAGATTTCCTAGCTTCTTAATTACATCTTTATCTATTGATTATTTCTGTGGAAAGACATTTCCAATCAGTCTACACATCAGTGTTGAAAACTGCTTATCATTATCCTAAGAACTGACCATGAAAAAGTGACCCTTTGACCTACCTTGTCCCTGGAGCTGTAAGCATATTTACATTGTTAAATAATGGAAATTTTCAAGTAATGGATGTTTCCTGCCTACAGCACAATGCAACAGCAACAGTCTTTCACTATGAAAGTGCATCTGAAGCAGCCACACATTCCCAGCACTATTTGCTACACTAGTGGAAGTGCTCTCCGGTGCATCAGTTTTCAAAAAACCCCAAGTGCTGGAATCTGGTTTTAATCATAATGTCAGCAAGTCTCCCTAATCCTGCTGCTTTCCTAGAAAGTCAGGAATTGGCCTTCTGAGCAAGTCAGGATGAAAGAAAGCGAAATTCCTTTCAAATGTAGAGTAGGAAAGGAGAAAATAAATGGGAAGTGAGAGATAAGCCTGATGGAGGTAGGCAGACCTGAAAAAAATGATACTGCAGTGGTCCCTAAGTAGAGGGCAAAGGTGTGTAGCCACCATCTATTAGTACTCTATCACTTACCAGGATTTTGGCTCCCCAAAATGCAAGTAGTTGATACTGTAGAGATCCATGTCCTCTGTATGCCAAGCAAATGTTGTCTTCCACATCCCAAAGTAGAGGTAGGGAGTGTTTACACCTTCTATGATGATGCCACACTCATGTTCCACCATGTCTAAGAGCGTGTTCAGGTTGCCAATATTCCATTCTTCCACATCCTGTAATTCAAAAGAAATGGTTTGTACTGGAACATTTCAGGACTTGCTATAGCAGAGTAATAGACCACAGTTTCCTTTCAGTGCCTTAAAATGTGGACATCCTAGTGTTATCTGCATTAATTTATTTCCACCTGCTTCCAGAAAGCTTACTTTTAACGCCCATCAATAACCGTGAAAAGGATGTATTACCACGACTTTGTGGCAAAGGGATTGATCACCAGCTCCTCACTAGCTGTGCCCTCTGAAGAGGCACTTGTACTATGTGGTCCTCGACCGTTAAGCAACTGTTCTACTAGTAAACATACGACAAACTAAATGTCCAATACGCTTCTCTCAATGACGTATTCCATCCAAATGTTCTTCACCTGATGGACACGTATCAGCTGATGACAAACACTAGATTTCAACGTGGCCGAGGCCTCTACATCAGCTCAGTGCTTCAGACACAAAACAGGAAAGACAGTTCTGTTATCAATATTCAAACAGAAAGAGCAAGAAGTAGTTCTAAATCTGACAGTTGGTTTTCTCTACTTCAGTGGGAAATAGAGAAGTCACATAAACTGGTACAAATCTTGAACCTTGGGACTGCCTGAAGAGTAACACAATCTCCAAAAGGAAACCAGTCTCCTTCACACCCCCTCCCCTCACTGTACTTCGTAAGCATGCAAGTAACCGATAGGCATGCGAGCAATCCCCGCCTCATACCGCTTGCTGGGGTGACGGCAAGACAGTGAAACTCGAGTTACTCAATCCTGAAACTTTCTAAATCAACTCGGGGGGGGAGTGGGGGGACCAAAAAAGCCACAGAAACAGGCAGGGGAGAAAGGAAGCAGCTGAGAATCGAGATGAAAAGCGAGATGATGTTGAGAGAGAGCATTTTCCCTGACTCTTACACCTCAATGCTCCGAGCAAAGGCAGTAATTGGGCAATAGGAAATATTCTTTTGGTGTGACTGGTAGTTCAGTTGTTTAATTTTTACTTACAGGAACTTGCAGGAAACAATGCATATTCAGCACTGCAGAAGCTACTTCTAAAGGCTGCGTTTGTGCTGGGTTACGTCACCTTCCCTGATCATACCATGGACAAGAACGCGATACTCTCATCAAAGCACCAAACACAACAGGTCACCTTGATGTCCATGGCTGTGAAGATCTTAGTTATTTATGGTTATTCCAACTAACTCCATATTAAACCATATTGCTAATAAAAAGACACTTTTATACTGCAGACAATCAGACAACACTCAGAAAGGCCACTTTCCACTCAAAAGAAAACTACAGAGAAAGGGCATTGCTTCAGACTGGCTGCCTCAACCCAGTAAGAAGATAAGCAACCTTTATCGTCTGCAGCAGAAGAAATCACAGCACAATTATTTTAAGCAGAGGATGCAATTTCACTAGAGAAAAGCTTAAACAATTTGCATTGTAAAATAATTCAGCAGACAGATGCGTCGTCTCCCAATACAGCTGTCAAAGAAAAATTCCGAACCCAGATATTTTAGTTGTATTAAAAACCAAAAAACAGCAATAAGGGATGACAAAAAGTATTTTTGATGAAGCACCCAATTCCTTGAAATGCTGCTTTTGTGGCTCTCTAAGCTGCTTTAGCAGAAATCTCAGTTGTATTCCCTAAAATCAAAGAACCCTGCCACACCCTAGCATGAGAGATCAGTAGCTTACTTTTCATTTACCTGCACACCATCACATATATCTGGGCATATCATCCAGCTTCCTTTAACAACCTTTTCTGCAAGCTAGATATCATCTCTGGCCACACACTTCATAAGAGTTCGTTTAAACCACTGTTTTCCTCAATTTTCTAGTGAAACTAAGTTTTTCACAGCCTCCCATGCCTCTATTATCCTGAATCTCTCAGAAGGTGGGAAGTTTAGTCACACTTCTGTAATGAGGGAAAAATAAAGATATTGTCTGGGTTTTTTTTAAGGTGACTAAATCAAATAAATTCTGAATTACTGTTCCTTAATGAGTAAAGAGCAATAAGGAAGTCAGTGTCCATAATTAAAATGGATAAAAGAGAGGCATTTCACTTACCGCATCATATAGCGAGCCACTGATATCAGCTCCATAAATCGGTGAGACAAATGTGAGATTCTTCCAGTACTTGCGCTCCAGGCTTTCAAAATCTTGATGGCGTGGAGTGCAATACCTGATAAGAACGTGGAAAAGATAAGGATGTTAGAAGTCCTAGGGAACACTCATCACAGACAAATAAGCAGCACGCGTTTCAAAGTCGGCACACTCAGGAAGTTTTTCAAGGTTCACTTCATTTTTAATTCTACTCAGATTCATACCATTTCCTGCCTTTTAAATCTTTCTACAGAACCTCTTAGTGCATAGTGACAAACAGGATGTGCACTTACGGTGAAGCACCAGGCCCTGACCCTAAGGATGCACGAGGCGGTTATTACACAGGGAGCTGAAGGCAGGTGAAGCACCTCCGTATATGCTGTATCAGCAATATTTCAGAGTTGGTCACGTGATGTCAGTCATGCTCACGTTAAAGCCCAAGGTACTCCAGAGCTCTGGACAATGGACACAACTGCAGTTCACATCAGCCGGCTCATCCCAGCTAATGGAGGTGTTCTGCAAAGGTCCAGTCGCTCGGGAAGACGCTCGTGTTGTTCGTCTTAGCCCAGGCACTCCAAGATACTTGGATTTCTGCCTCAGCAACGGAACACGTTTTCCTGAACAACCATTAACAAACCAAGAGCTTTTCTGTGCACCCCAAGCCACTCTTTTCAGGCAGATTCTTAGCCAAATACAGACTTGGAAAATCTTTCTATACCAACTCCCAGAAAAAGCTTTGAGATTCTGGATGTAAGCTTTCAAGGAAAAAAAAAATCTTGTTCCTCAAATTGCTTCCTACTTATCAAGGCTGCACTTATTTTCAGCTTATTTCTAGAAAAAAGAGCTTTCTGCACAACTCCCCCATTCGCACCGCCAGCACATCACTGAACACCAACATACTTCTCGCTATTAGCCAGACGCCGGTATTCTCCAACAGTCATGGGCTTCTTCTGGATATTATACTGGGTGAATAACCCCGACTGTCCAGTAACAACCTGCTGAATAGGAGCTGGGATAACCATGTCATCAATGTCGTCGTAGGTTTTTCGGGGCTTCCACTCCTTGGGAGGAATCACCTGGAATTGGGAGGGGAAAAAACAAAACATCTCATATTCACCACAGGCAAAGACAACTTGTACTGAAGAAAAAACCGTTGAAGAGGAAGGTATTTCCTCCTGCTGCTGCTGCAGGTTATCGGGTAACAGCAGCCTCTCAAATAACCAGCACATATGACAAGGCACCTGTTCTGCATCTGCTGAAGCGCAGGGCTAGCTGCCGTGGTCAGTGATGATAAAGATATATAGTTATTCCAAGGAGATACGCTGCACGCCAGAGGGACTGCACATGCTTTCCCTCCGGAATGGGATTTCTCTCACCTACCATTCCACAAAGCTGCAGGAAGACTCATGCGGCTTTATTAGTATGCTGCATCTCTACAACTCCATACCCTTTTATAGCAGTCTAAACTACCACTCCACCTAGATCACTCAGAGTAGGGTCTCCTTGGGGTTGGGTGGTTTTTGTTTGTTTGTTTGGGGCTTTTTAACTAGGAAAGCTCAAAATCCTGTTGCATTATTGCTGGTGGTGTTTCTGTATTTGTAGGTGACACACAAGGGTCCAACTCCTCAAATGAAAAGGGGCAAGGGGTAGAGAAGAGCAAAAGAAAAACACGGGGAATGCATCCAGAACTCTTTCATCACCCTTGGAGGATGTGCAAAAAACCAGTTGCAAAGCAGTGCTGAATCTGGAAGAAAAAGCTGTAATTTTAAGCAGAAGAGCTGCCAACAATCCTAGGCTCAAGATAAGAGCACAATCAGTAGGACATTCAGCGGGCGTGTGGAGTGAAAAATAAAGTATCTACAATCTAATGTGGTGTAAGGATTAACCAAAGTAAGTTACAGGAATTAGAGGACAAGTTGATTTTCATGGGCATGGTTCCTCCAGCAGCTCCACTTCCACTGTAAGGCTCAGAACCACAGTTGCAACAGAGACAACACAAAAATTAACTTGAAATGTTTACATTTAGTCCTACAGGGAGAGTAATTTCTTTACAACATCTGGAATTCACCAACGACCTTTGTTAAAATAATGTACCCTAGCAGACTCACAGAATGTAATTGCTAGTACACTTGAGTGGACAAGGAAACATTTCACAGAGAGCCTTTTATCAATACCCAGCTCGATTCAGAACTGCAGTAAAACCAGTAATTGACCCACATTTTAGAAGAAATAAGAATTATTTCATGCCTAACAGCTTTATTTCTCTACTGTGCTTTATTAAGTTCTGCTAAATATCATATGTAGTCAGAACAAATGATCTCTGCCTACGGTACAACATGACTCGGCCACAGAAATACTCTTTCTAATCAGTTAGTCCTGATTTTGTCCAAGCAGCTGTATGCCAAATACCAGAATTTAGAACCTTCACATGAGAGTTCTCATAATCTTTCATCAGTTTCAGTGTAAAGATGCGGATGGGAAGGAAGCAGGAAGATGTTTTACAGCTGGCTGGAGAACTGCTTCCTAAAGGCCAAAAAGGCTTTCAGGTATTTTGGGTCGCACAAGCTACAGGACACATTTACAGATTCAAGTCAGCGTAAGGCCCAGCACATTAAAAAGGTAAGAAGTCTGCACCCATCCGCACAGGTAATATTTAGGCCCTCTTCCCTAACCTCAGCAGGCTGCAAAAGCCTGATCCTTTACCCTAAGAACCAGGGAAGCTTAAAATTTCACACCTCCAGCCCTCAAGAACCGTGGCTACCACTATCTGTACCCTCAGCAACACCATCAGGGCATCGAAACACCCTTAATGGATCTCTGCAAGGGCTGGGATTGTCCTTATTTTCCATTTGGGAAAATACGTCCTGAAAACACAACACTTCTTCCACTCTTGCGAAAGGCCTGGAGCTCCTCCGCCCTTCCTCTCTCGCTAAGCCGAAACAGAGACTGCAGTACCATTTTCAAAAGCACACTCTGCTTGACTAGATGAAAGCAAACTGCTTCTGCATGACAGAACTTCCTGGGCACCTTACACAAAGCAGAGCCTCGGGAAGGCAGCCTTCGGGAAGCTTTCAACTACCTAAGGCAGATCAACTTACCTTGGCAAGCCCTGCTCGGTGAGCTCCCTGCGATTCCATGTAAGCAATGTATTTCCCAAAGTCCCGAAACTCTTCAAGGGTAGGCCGAAAGGTCATGATCTTGCAGCCAGGGTTCTGAGGACTTGGGTTTTCCGACCCCATATTTCTCCTAGGGCGAGAGCGCCTGAAGAGGGGAAACAAAAAGGGAAGAGAGAGAAGAGAGGCAGAAAGAAAATCATACTGGTTAGAACTTTGGGTTTTTTCTACTTGCTTTCATGTTCTTCTGTAAAATTCATTGATATATTGAAACAAGTTGGAACAAGTCCAGAGGAGCCATGAAGATGCTCCGAGGGCT